CGATTCAGACTTTTTTCTCTGTTTTTTGGTGGGCGTGAGCCTGGCAGCTAAAGGCTGCTTTTCAGGCGAGTGATTGTCATGCTATGGTAAAAATCAATTTTCCAGCCAGTTTTCCATCTGTGCGCTCAAGAGAGGCATTTTCTATACATTTTCAGCGAAAGCTGGCATGTCCCCTGTGTCCCCTGTGTGCGAGGGAAGATGGAGCACCATTCGGAACCGATTTTGAATCAATTTCTTTGGACAGGTACTAAAATTCACCTCAATTGATGGCAAAACTTCTAATAGAGAAACTACAATCAAATGTTGGCGAAATTGAAAGGTAAGTCTGTTGGTTGGACACCACTGAGAGGCTTCCTGCCGATGCCAAGAAGCAGGTGCAGCCCCATCAACGTTTTAAGTACATTTTTGCGGACAGAAAGCATTCACAAAGTATTAAAATATACTTCAATGGATTGCATAGACATCTAATAGAAAGACCACAACCGAGACTTGTACAAATTGAAAGGGAAATCTGCCTGAGGCCCACTCCAGATCCACCTCGTATTGAGAGAGTCAGGTGCATTCCGTTTCATTCCTGTGCGTCCCCTTGGCTGCGGTCGGGCTGCTGCTTTTTGGCTTTTTGGAGACTTTTCAGTTATTAGCAATGCCTAACGAATGCCAATTTTCTTGTTTCGGTTTTGGTTTCGGTTTCTGTTTCTGTCTTTCCTGCTGTTTGCACATAAAATCATTTTTACCACAAAAGCACGGAAGTGCCTTTGAGGGATTCGAATGCAATTTGGGGCAACAGCCACAGCACCACCACCAGCAGTCCATTCGAAAATCCGTTCTAAATTTTGCAAGAATACTTTTATTGTGTTTGCTCTTTCGACAGGGTCAACAAGTTAATCACATTGTGTGGCATGAATATAATAGAATTCTTATTTTCCTGTTTTCTGTGGCTTTGGCTTTGGCTTTGGCTCTGGCTTTGGCTGCTGCGCACGCGTTTGAGCCAACAACGGACTGGGGGACTGGTCTCAGTGGCACGGAAATTGACGTTTAAAGCGGGACCCAGCTGTCTGGCCTTTTTTGGCCAAGAAGTAAGTACGCTTTAGCCTTTGGCGTTCAAATTGGCAAATTAAGTCATACGCCTGCCTGGCTGCTGCGGCCGCCTTGCGACTGCATTTGGCTGCTCAACGTTATTCATTATTTTGCAATAATTATTGATTTATTGTCTTGTTTGCTGTCCCATTGGGACTGGCCGGAAAGCAGAATCAAAGCGCCGACAAAACCATTATCGCATGCATGCAAAATTCTAGAGTTCCCATGCCCTAAAGATCATTAGTAAACGTGGCTAATGATGGGCATGGGCAGGGCATGGACCATGGGCTGGCCGGCTAGTTGATTGGTAATTGGAAAGGCAAAGGCACGCACATTAGGGCGTGGCCCATTTCTACAGCTAGAAAGTAAGGCAGTTAAGTGGAAGGGCTGTGCCTTTCCCTTTTGGCGTGCTCAACGCATTAATATTTCACGCCTCCCAATCGAGCGACCCCAAACTAGCGCGGAAAATCCAATAACTACCCGAAAAGTGGCCGCTGATCGAAAGGTGAATGCCTCACAAGATCACCATACGGGTATGCATGGCTTAATGGCTTCATTGGATTTCGCGCACACATCGCAGCAGCAACTGTCGTTAATCGCCATACGAGTACTCTCCATAATTTCAATTTGCATATCCGATCTGAGCCCCACCTGCTGAGGCCGGTAGAACGAGTTTTTCTCCATTTTCCTAAGCTGCCCACCAAAAAATGAAATGAAATTGCAAAATATATTTTTAACGCCTTATTATAGAAAATGTGCTACAGATTTGTTGAGGCCAGTGTCGGCTGGAAAACAATTTCCATTTCCTGACAGCCCTAGCCCCAGCCCCAGCTCCAGCTCCAGCTCCAGTGTGCACCTCCTCGGATCACCTCCTGGCAGCCAACGGACAATTGTTGGCCGCTCGCTGCGCTTTCTTGGGGCATGGCAGAGAGCCCACTTATCTAATTGCGATTCCGGGAACTGGTTTTCCTTGATACATTTTTCTCAACTCATTAGAACTCAATCATAACTCGCGAGACACGGGACTCGTTCCAGCTCTTCAGCTTTTGCTGTTCCTCCGTCCGTCCGTCCCTCCATCCGTCCGTGCAATAGGCAAATCGTTGCTACATATTTTTCCAGCCGACGCGCGCAATTGTTGCCGTGAGCAATTTCTGGTCAAGAAAACGAGGCAGCAGATACGAGTAGGAGAGAGTTTGGGAATGCAACGAATGATTAGTACCCCTTAAAGCCGACTTCTCACACAGAGAAAAGCCCTTATAATGCTCGATTTCTATATAATCTTAGTTTTCTCGGATTTCGACTCTACTTTTTGCCTGTAACCACATCTCCTTATAATAAATACACCCCTCGTACACTCGCCGAGCAATGGGTAGCAGAAAAGAGCCAGAACACGCCGGACGTGTTCCATAAACAACACTTTGATTACGACAACGCGGGCGCACAAACGCAAATCGATGTTTTCATATGGAAATTGAATCAAAGTCAAGTCAAGTCGGGGCCCGGCCCGGCCAGACCGGACCAAAGCCAGAGACCGAGACCAGTCCCCCAATACGTTGAGAGTACCCTGAATATGGAGCACACCAGCATCAGCAGCAGCAACATGTGTAGCTGTTGTGGCTGCGCCCAGGCCTACAATTGAAGCTCTGGCACCATGGCTTGGAGCCAGAGTCCAATTGGCCTTGATGTGAGCCGAGAGCCAGGCCATGGCGTCAGCGCTTTTGTGGCCAGTAGCCAAGAAAGAGAGCACTGAGAGGGCTGGGCACTGGTCTCCAAGTCTTTTGTGGTTTTCGCTATGATTATTAATCAATTCTTTCATATCATTTCGCTTGAATTGAATTCTTTTTACGTATCGTTTAAAGCTATAGGCTGCTGTCTGTCTGTCAGTCTGTCTGGCTGCCTTTTTTTCACTCTAATTAATTCAACAAAAGTTTTCTGGGCCGTCCATTGTGGCGGGGTTTTCCGCTTACAGTCGCGGCTCCCGTTGTCCGCCGTTGTTGCCGCCGATTTTGCTGCTGCTGTGAAAGGTAGGCAACGGCAGCATTCATCATTCGGATGTTTATGTTTATTAAAATCCATTTAATTACTTTGCCCGTGGACACACGCACACGAGAGCCACAGCAATTGTAAAGCCATTCAAATCGAATATTAAATGCAGAAAAAAAACGAAAAATTATAACAATAATTATTTATTAATGGAAAATTGTATGGCGATTGGAAGCTGGAAAAGGGCAATCGATTTGAATGCGGGATTGTGACCTCAAAAAATCATTATTACACAGTGAATGGTTTTAGAATTGCACAGATACAGATACAGACACAATTACAGACTCCGCAGATAAATGTGGTCAAGAAAGTAATTAAAAACCTTGCAGATACAAGTTGCATGCAAATAGAGCACTTCTCCCCTCGTGGATGGGACACACACACAGGAAACCCTTGCCACATCTCTTCTGTAGAGCAGGTGTCGAAATTGACAGATGAACAAAATGCTCGCTGTCCCCTCACCGCGCGAAAACCGGAACTGGCCGACTGTAATTGCCAAGGGGCGTGGCTAGTTGTGTATAAGAAATTACCCCAGAAGCGGACACAGCCTGAAACCCAATCCGGACTCGAATCTGCGTCTGAGCCTGAGTTCAATTTAAATTTTAATCGCATGCCTAATAGACAAACCCGGAGTAAATGTCAGAATAAAGAGACTAAGAGCCGACTTAAATCATGCCAACATTTACAAAGTACTTTGCAAAGGCCTCCACATAGATACACACACACACACACAACAGGCACCGGGGGATGTGTGAGAGTCACGGACACGTCGTCAGATATGAAGATGCGGCCATGGTGGACGATGGCCCAAGACAAACTTCCGATCACGTTGTAAGTCAGCGGCGAAATTGCTAAAGACTGCGTCCTACCCATAGCCAAGGTAAGGCTTTCAGAAAAAGGGTCTAAACCAGAGAGGGACACAGAGAGAGAGAGAGAAAAAGTTAATGGAGGCAAATGCATCAAAATGGTTAATTGGATCTGGAACAGCAAATGACGAACACTTTTAGTGTTTATGGCAGTAGCCCCAGCCCCAGCCCAAGCCCAGTACAGGCCCATGGCCATGGTCCAGAGCCCAGATCCAGGGCCAAGACCCAGCAAAAGATTGCGGCAGATAGGCAAGTGTGTACGTGGCTTTGATGCGGTGCTGATGGCGTTGAGAGCTGCACACACACACACACAGAGAGGGCAGAGAGAGGAGAGATGAGATGAGGACGATGCGATGCATGCAGCATATAGCAAACAGCTCAAGTGGCAAGCGTGTTGTACACGACACGCATTAGCGTGAATGAAGTAGTTCTTGCTGTTGCTCTTGCTGTTGTAGTAGTACTTGCCTTTGCCATTTTTTAATCGAATCCAATGCGTGGAGAGACGAGCACAGGCCCCCATCTTCATCCACATCCACATCCCAGACAAATGTGCAGGAAAATTAATGGCAAACTTTGCAGTAATTTCCATTAAAGTGGGCACAGCTCCAAAATCCACTTGTTGCCTCTACTAGTAAGGCGAGGCTGGCCAAAAGGCTGGCAACTTCCGTGTTCCATGCTCCAAAGCCAGACACTCGGATCGGTAAAATGGTAATGGAGCAATATGATGATGGTCTCCACGAGCTGTCTAATGGCCAGAATATGATGGTTTTTACTGTAAGATTATATTACTGCGGCCTGTGTGCTCATTGTGTGGTAAAAGGGGTATCAAATCCCAGCCTTTTGCTTGAACTGTTGAATCCTCCCATTCAGATTGGAGACTTCTGTTTATAGAACCCAAACATTCATCATCTACCAGATCGCCTTGGCAACAGCGACTGTTACGCGAATATATTGATTACTCCCTCAATTTCCAGCAACTTTCAACAGTCGCAAAGGAAATACCAAGTCTGCAACATGGATATGGACAGTAAGTGGCTGACATTTTGTAGAATTACAATTTATAAAACGTTTCCGTAGTGAACAATGATTTGGAGAAGCGGATTTCGGATGCCTTCTGTGTGTTTGACCATCACGGCGACAAGTTCATAGATGTACGCGAGGTGGGGACGGTTCTCCGGCTGCTGGGCTGTGTGCCCACCGAGGAGGAGGTCAATGAGGTCATCTCGGCCACCGAGTCGGAGGAGACCAGCGGTGAGGTGCATTTGACCAAATTTCTGCCACATGTCTCGCAGTTGCTAATGGAACGCAAGTGAGTGGCATGTCCTTCCTGCCACCAGAAGTAAATCAGATATAGGTGTCCCATTTACTTGCAGAATGGAGCCTGCACCGCCGGAGAAAATCCTGCAGGCCTTCAAGATCCTGGATCCCGAGAACAAGGGCTATCTCACCAAGGAGACCTTCGGCAAGCTGATGATGGAGGAGGGTGAACCGTTCACCCAAGAGGAAATGGACGAAATGTGGCCGGTGGCCATCGATCCCATTAGCGGGCACATACCCTACGAGTTCTACTTGAATCAGCTAATGGTATGGCGGGGGTTTCCCCCTCAAAGTGGAGAAAACATTCTATCTTATATCCTTGCTCTTCTTAGGTTTATCTGTGAATCCTTCTAATGGCAGGATTACTCTGGGAAAGTCTATATAAATGCAAATAAAACGCCGCTAACACTGTATTTGGCTGAATGATTATTTCACTAAGGAAATCTCTAAGGCTGGTGATGCTGGTGCTTCTCCGGTTTCCACTTTTCACTGCCTTTACAGCCTTCCCCGCTGGCCTCTTGGCCACTTTGGCTTTGCATTAGCATCACACACACACATCGCCATCCATGGAGAGAAGGAGGACAGAAGGAGTGGCATGGCTAACTAACCAACCTAGGCAAATGCGTTTCAAAGTGGCAAACATAAGTCTACACTCCTGTTGGGTCCGGGTCTGGGCCCAGGACACTCGCTCTCTCTCTCTCCATCTGGCTAATGCTGGCTTTGCAACAGAGATGCTGCTGTGCTGCATCGTTCTACATGGGGCGGAACGCGCCAAAGTGGGTTGCGCATCATTAGCACAACTAATGGATGTACACTTTTCTTCGCCAGCCCGTACCGGCCAGCCCCAGTCGTGGAGTCGTCCAGTCCTGGCTCTAAATTGCAGCTGGAGAGGCAACAAAATTTAAATAAATTAAAATACCTCTCGAACTCTATTTGCTAGGGATCGCTCGGTCGCCGTCTCTCTCTCTCTCTCTCTCTCTCTCTCTCTCTGTCTTGCGGTCGGCGTCGGAGTCGTGTTCTCGCTTCCGTATTTATTAAATTCTAAATACACGCTGATGGATGCACTTAACTGCTTCTTATGGATTAAAATATTTCATGTAATACTCCCTGCCATTCCCATTGCCATTCGGATTCGCTTTCGCATTCGTGCGGCTGCCATCTGCACGTTCTGGCGCTTTGGCCAATTTGAGTGATTGCATTGCGCGCATTTAAATGGATGCCTGTTCATGAGGACGTTCCGAGATCTCTACGGATCCGAATCCTCTCTCTGTGCCCTCTCTGTGTCTCATTCTAAACAAGTTCTACGTGAGTTTTTGCCTGTGACTCAAATGCAGCGCCTAATGGACTTTTAATCTTTACAACTTGTAAAAAAGTTTCAACCGCCGCCAAAAGAACTTGATTGCACACAAATCGTCAGAGGCCATAAAGCAAATCTTGAACCATTTCGGAATGATATTCCTCAAAGGGCCCTGGGCTCTCTGAATTGGATTTGGGCAAGACCTGACCTGACCTAAACTGACTTTTGCTTTATGAACTGCCAAAAGAGTCGCCCCACAATGTGGGTTAAGTGTCCTCCCGCAAAGTCTAAGAGTCTGAGTGTCTGACAGTCGATGGCGGAGGTCGTAAAAAATGCAAAATGCCGAACAAATTGTCAAAGTTTGCTCCACACAATTTCCGGAGAAGTGCTCCCCGCCTCGGAGGCTGATGCTGAGATGAAGACGGAGACGGAGACGGAGCCTGAGACTGATGATGATTTACGCTCGACGAAGCGTAATTAAGATTTATGCTCCATACTCACTTGCAAAATGTATCTGAACCCATAAATACCGACATCTACAACTGCAAATTGTTGCGTACGAGTGTGTGTGTGTGTGCATGCCCCTAATTGTTAGTTATGCGTCTTTTGTTTGCGCGACATTAAAACTAATTAAGTAGAAAGAGATTCTATAAGATTTATAAGCCTCAATGCTTGCATATTATTACAAGTGCTCTCACACACTCCCCCCGCCACTCCATGTCGCCCAGCTCTGCTTGTGGCAAGGGTGTGTGTTGCAAATTAAAGCAATTAGTTGCATTTTAGGAAAATTACAAATTGAAACCCACACAGCAGTATGGCCGTATCCCGCAGGGAATTTTCCCTAATGAGTGGGCGGTTGGGTGGCCAAGGAAACAAATATTGACCCCATTTTGATTGATATCACCTTGAGGTTGTGTCCATTATTGAAATTATTTGAATTATTCACATGCCACCCACACTGCAGCAAAATATTTGACTTAACCTCAAGATGCTTTGGGCTTTCGAAGATTGAAAGGACCACGTTCTATTCCAGAATCAAAAAGATGGAATTTCCAAATTGAAGATTGCTTGAATCTAAGGCAAACCCTTTCAGGGCACGCCTACATCCATTACTATCTATTATCCTATGCTAAATATTCCTATTTGGCCACCTGTCTCTGCATTCACGTTTCACCTCCCCTCGAGATTACACACCCCGGGAATCCCTTTACGCTTTCATTGTTCAGCTGCACTTGCCGTAACTTTCAATCAACTTTCTGTTTACCTACGCTCCACTCCGCTGCTCTACGTAGTGGCAGCTACTTGTTTTGATTACCCCCCCAAACAGCCCCTGCCGCAAACATAATGGCAGACGAGAGACTCGGTTACCCAAGATCTCCACCAGTTACAGGCAGAGCCAACTTCAAATCAGACTTCACAGCTGCGTTGAGAACAAACGAAAGCGCATGCCGCATGCCCGACCGGGACCGGGACCGGGACTGGTACTCGTACTCGTAATTCCCATTTCGAGTGGTGTGGTGTGGTGTGGTGATGCCTTTCCTCGCCGCTAATTGAATTTAAGCAATGAAATATAATTTGGATTTTTGCATGAAGCCCCCATCGCGTAGCACGCCAAAAATCATACAAAAAATGAAGGAGAAAAAGATGGAAAGGAAAAGGAAACAGAAACAGAGGCAAAGGAGGCAGAGGCAAACACCAAGGTAAAACATGAAATGAAATTGCAAAAAGGTGAACAACATGCAATGGTTTGACCGACTGGATGGCACTCGTATAGAACGAGATGTGGGGCTGTGTGTGGGGGAAAAAAAGCGTGGCCAGTGGCATGCAGCCTGCTTGCGTCTTTATTGTTGCAGCGCAGCCGCCATCCCCAGACCAGACCAGCCCAGACCTCATCATCATCATCATCCGCGTAGTAGTAGTCGTCGTCGTCGTCGTAGTCGCTGCCATGTACAACACCCAAAGGTATCAGCAGACAAAATGCTAAAAATGTATTTACCACAAAAGCAACGACGACGACGAAGACGACGACAGCGACTCAGCTGGGTTTTAGCCCATTGCGGCTCCGGCCCTGGCTCCGTCTCCGGCTGCTGCTGCTGCTGCTGTTTCTGTTTCTCTGGCTGCGGCTGCCCTTAATGGATCTGCAGCACTTTGAGTGATTTATTTCACACGTTGATGAAATGGACAGCAATGGGCCGCATTTTGACGTTTATTGCAGCAGTGGCAAGGGCCGCAGCAGCGTCAGCGGCAGCAGCAATGCCCACGGCATGTGTTCTGCGCATGCGCACAGCACTTCAACAACTGCAGCAGCAGCAGCAGCAGCTAAAGCTCAGGCGAAGTAAAGGAGGAAAACGAAGGAAGGAGGACGACCCTGTGCAGGTCTTCTTTGGGCACTCTTTCTCAGGGGTATACTGGAGATGAAGGGGCTTTTGTGCAACGGACCCTCAACCAATATGGAAAGACTGCAAAAGGGCACCCAGCAACCATCGAAACTTTCGATTTTCAACTATTTTCTTGTTTTTAATATTTTTCCCTTTTCTTGCTTTAGTTTTTTTCCTTTTTGCAATTGCATTGTGAGCCTTGCACGTCTTTTGGTAATAGCCATAGCCCCGCAGACCATGGCTGGTCTTTAATGAGGCGCGCTCCTCATTTGGACGCCACGCATTTTGTACCCGTTTTACCCAGCGGATGGCCAGATACATGCATAGATGCGGGTAGGTCGGTCGGACGGGGTGGGAGGCATTTAAAACTTTTAATTGCAACTTAATTTGTTGGAGCCCTGAATGGAGACGATTCTCACGAATGCCACACTCTGCAAATGCCGCAGCGATGACCTCTAGGCGATGGTCGGGTCGAGAGGCCCACTCACGGAAAAGCCATCAACCGGAGACAGCGGAGACAGCGCAAGCGGTGACAAAATATCCACCCCCGAGGAAAGTCAATTTAACACATTCACTACGCCTCTTAAAATGTTGATATTTTAATTAGTTACGCTCTGAAGGATTTTCCACAGCCATCCAAAGTCGCAGGCATCACCCACTCCCAAAAAAAACCATAGAAATCTCTGGGGCCCTGGATCATCCAACGCTGGGCTGCACCAGAGACGTGGCAGTATGCAGCTGGAGAAAAATAAAGTGCCAAAGGGCACACATGGCACCGAGTGTCTTGGCTTTTAGTGGCTTTTGTTTTAAGCCATGAAAATGGGACACTGGTGGAGGTTGCAAGGGGATTTATGGGCACATAAATCGGGAACATTCCACATAGATATGCCAGCAGTAAATCCTACCAGGCATATTCAAAAGAAAATGGTTTCACGATCGGAAAGCAAACTAGTGCACGATCAGTGTTGAAAAGCCGTAATAGAAGAGGGATCAGCTTTGAAAAGAGCACAGATTTGGGCCAGTGTTGTGTAACACCTAATTTACATCAGTGCTGGGCACTACATCCCCCTTTCAGCCACACCCATGCCCCCGTGGGCACCAATATGCCAGGGCCCAGATCCCAGAGCCCAAGCACGGAGTTCAGTGCCAAACAACCTACAGAGTTTTGTTTTCCCCCTCATCGGATCGGTTTTTATTTCGGTTTTATGACAGCGCAACAGCCAAACTGTGGCAATAAGTTCAAATGCCGGGCCACAGACTCTCGGGGACTAAATGCACGGCTTAATGTGCAACTCAGAGACTAAGACTATGACTTGCCACAAAAGCCAGAAAGAAGAAAGGCCTGCCTCAAGATTCAAGCGCAGGCACCCCGGAGGTTGCTCCCTCTATATCCCCACCACATCCAGTGCCAAAAATAAAAGTGGGTGTAGCGGCACCAAATGCCATTGCCAACCTGGGTCGTCATCGCCACAGCCACAGCCGCAGCCAAAGCCGAAGCCGAAGCCGAAGCCGGGGCACAGCCGCAACTGCAACGTCAACGCCAACGCACTGACACTGACTGTTGTTCGTGAGGGTCCACACCTCATCGCCATCGTCGTCCTCAGTGCACCGCAGCTTTCTCTCTGTCCCTCTCACTCTGTTTTATCCCACATCCTTCTCTAGTGCTGATTTCTACTAATTTGATTAAACAGATTGGGTTTAATAAGGTTCATGCAGCACG